AGAGGTCATCTGAGGTCTGTGTTGTGTTTTTCACACACACCCCACACGTTCATGTACCTACACGCTTAGAATTCGGAGAAAAAACATCATCCCTAAGGTATTAAGTGCTTTATAAAAATAATACCGTTGGATTTCTTTATATGTCATCCTGAAGATGAATTTAATTGTTGAAGGAAATGAATGAATTTGTATCCAGGCAACCTAATGGAGGAGGAGACAGCTGCTTAAATGTGGTATTGAATAATGTTAAAAGGCTAATAGTAAAGAAATTCCTTCTTCCTTCTTTCTTTGAAAGAATAACTACAGAAATAAAAGCTGAAGAACTCTGTTTTCTGTTCATTTCCTCTGCAAACTACAACTGGTTGCAAAGGCTTGATTGTTTGCCTATCTTTAATTAAGTGTGGGTAAAACATGATGATGGAGACATCGTTTCTGGAAGCTAACTTGCTGATTTGTTCAATACAATGTTTTATAACTTCATAAGAACAGAATTTAGAGCTGACAATCACCTGGAGGAGATGTAAAGCCATGCAGAACTGACCTCGGGTTATTAGACAATATTACACAATAACACAACTTCGGTTGCACGGAGATTTCATCATGCAGTCTTCACTACAGCGTTCCAGAGATAGAGCCCTCCGTGGCCACATGAGCTGACGTGGCCCCAGGTTCTCTGTTGAGGATGATTGCTACTGTGGGTACCATAACTTGACTGTTCCCTTTTGCATCCCTTGGTTTGTACGTACCACACAGAAAAAAGATATTTTGAGCTACTGAACTTTTTCCAAAAGTTCTTCAAGCAACTGATCTTCTGAGAGGCAGTGAACTATTTGATCGTGGCAACAGCAGCAGCTGAACAATGATCTCAGCCACTGCAGACAATTGAACAGAGCCAAGAGATCAGCTCTTGTGTGGTCTTGTATGCCCCATCATAATTTTACGACAAGAGGGACCTTTGTATTAGTAACTCAGGTTTTACCTCTGATGGTAGCCTGTAATGTATACAATTAGTCCTCGAATTATGACCACAGAATTTCTGTTGCTAAGCACAGTGGTTCTTAAGTGAGTCGTGCTCAATTTTATGTTTTTGTTTTTTTTTTACCTGCAGTTTTTAAGTCAATCATGTGGTCATTAAGCAACTCCATCTTCTCCCGTTGACTTTGCTTGTTGGAAGCTGGTTGGCAAGGCTGCCGATGGTGATCACGTGACCATGGGATGCTGCAACCGTCATTGAAACATGCCAGTTGCCGAGCCCTCAAATTTTGATCACGTGACTATAGAGATGCTCCAATCCTAAGTGCCATTGTAACTTCAATCACTAAACTTTGATCGCTAAACACTGTAACATTTTTTGGGGGGTGGGGTGGGAAGATGGATTAGTAGCTTTAGTTATTGTGTATGTCTTTTAAGTAATTGTATTGTAAATGTATTTTCAGAACTGCAGGAGACATCTACAAATCAATAATAGTGCTGAGGTTTGCATTTTCAACAAGAACAATGGGCTGTGGGGGAAGGCAACATTTTTTTTTTTTTCTGTGAACATCATTGCTTTGCTTGCAGAAAAATGTGCAGGCACATTGTCCACTGCACCTAGAACTGACTGCAGATTTGTTGCCCCTGTTTTTTTTTTTCTGTTAAAAACAACAAAACAAAATTTAAAAAAAAAAAGAAAATTTCTTCCGTGTCAAAGAGCATAGTCAATCAAGAAAATCTTATTAAGGTGTCAGTATGCCCAATGAATATTTCAGAACAAATGCCATATATCCTGAATATGGTAGCTCTCCTAGCATCAGTGTCAACTTTACTAAGAGGAGGAATTATTTCTCAGACAAAATGGCATAAATATTGCAAACGGTTGGAGCTATGGAGAGTCTCTAGAGTCACTCGCTATATTCTCTTCTGCAAAATAAAAAATAAAAATGCTGCACTGAGGTCTCCTTGAAAAGGGAAAGAGCTTTTATAGGAAAACTTCACCAAAGTGGACTTCTCTGCTTTCTTTTAGTACTGAAATAACATCATTATGCAAAAGGCACTCAAATCTTTATCGTTCTTCTAAGAGCAACTGGTATGAAGTCGGTTTTTGAGATAACTCGATTTGAAATTTACTTTCTGAGGAAATATTAGCATGGCTTTTATGATGATGATGATGATGAATAGGCAGTGCTTGCTTGTAACTATTGCTTATCCTTATATCAGGTTGTATGTGGGTGAGCCTAGAAGACCAAGAACTATTTAAAAAAATGAAACAATTGATAGAGATAGTCCTTGAGTTACGACCACAGTTGAGTCCAAAATTTCTGTCGCTAAGTGAGATGTTTGTTGAGTGCCTTTTGCCCCATTTGACGACCTTCCCTGCCATAAATTGTTAAGTGAATGGCTGCAGTTGTTAAATTAGTCACACGGTTGTTAAGTGAATTTGGCTTTCCCATGGACTTTGCTTGGCATAAAGCGGCAAAAAGGGATCACATGACTGTCACAAACACGAGTCAGTTGCCAAGTGTCTGTAGCTCATGTGACCATGGAGGATCCTGCAATGGTCGTAAGTGTGAAAAACGATAAGTCACTTTTTTTTCAGCGTCCTTGTAACTTTGAATGGTCATTAAATGAACTGTTTTAAGTCGAGGACTACCTGTATCTAAAAAGCTGGGTGATCATTGAAAGAATTCAAAACTCCAAGAGAAGAACGTGGAGCATCGTTTTCTGTGAGATGCTAGCAGGTGTTTGTGAAAATTAAATGTCTGTGATTCTTACTCGTCTGTTAAAGGATTTATCCTATAAAGTACCTTCCCAGGGGAAGGTGAGTCAACCTATCTAATCATTGGTTTAGGTAGCTGTCTCCTTTGCTTAGGACACAAGCAATGTCGGGCTATTGTCAACACTACTTTGCATCTCTGCGGGTATAATTTTTAATGTTTAAATCAACATGGGATGTTCCCTAAGCAAAAAAGGCAGGTTGTGTTTTTATTAATTAAACAAAAAAGAAAGTGCTGCTAAGTGTGTGTACGCTTTGAGAAAGTGTAAGGGAGAAATGCTAAAGTCCTTTAATTGAATGACTGACATAATAATTTTGAAGGATTAAACTTGTTGGACTGCTGGAATTAAGAATTAGCGGTGATCCGTTAGTCATACAAATCAAACATTTTTGCTTGTTGATTTGTACTGATATGTGATTATGAGTGTGGAAGCTAATCTTTTCTCACCTAGGAGTGGTCAATTAGATGGCACAGATTCTGGGCTTTCGTGTAAAAATTTATCTGAGCATAGATCATGAGACTGTGTAAATGTTAGTGCAATTAGTTATGTAAAAATTGGACAATTTAGAATCGAAGAAACTAATGGCTTGGGGCAATCTGAGGAACCATCTTGTCTCATTCATATAATCCTATCCTACCCACCCAGTTAGGCAGGGAAGGTATATTGAAGATCTTGTTGATAAAGAATTAGAACAGAATACATCTGGAAGGGACCTTGGAGGTCTTCTAGTCCAGCCCCCTGCTCAAGCAGGAGAACCTATATACCATCTCAAGTGATGGTCTAGCCAGGGGTAGGCAACCTTGGCTCTTTTATGACTCATGGACTTCAATTCCCAGAATTCCTGAGCCAGCATGGCTGGCTGCTGGCTCAGGAATTCTGGGAATTGAAGTCCACGAGTCATAAAAGAGCCAAGGTTGCCTACCCCTGGCCTAGCCTTTTCTTAAAACCCCCCCAGTGATGGAGCCAATTTTCATTGGCAGGATAGTTTTGAGAACAAACGGATAAAAACCATAAGTGTGCTGTGTGTATCACCTTGAGCTCAGAGAAGAGCTTTTGATAAATAATAAAAAAAAATATTTTTGCAATTTTCGATTTTACACACTGGGGTGAGACGCTTACCCTTTAAAATTCCTTATTCAAGCATTTTATCCTCTACTCTACCTTGTCACCACCGGTGTTCACTATTTTGCTTTGTCTTAACATTATAACTGTTAAATTGTGTAGAGGTAATGTTTAATGGAGTTCAGTAATTGAGTTAATGATCAGGTGTGAGAGTACATTAAGTCGAATGCAGCTGTTAATTTTCAAAACCCATGTGTTTCCAGATTTTGGGATAGGCTGATAGTGAAGTTTTAGTTAATTAAGTCTCTGAACCATTACAATCTTCTTTTGGGTTTTCCTTGTCACCAGAACAATTGGCTGTGTTTAATTTCCTCTACCTTTATCATTCACATTGGCAAATGTCATTGTTACAAGTGCAGGTATTAAGCAGGTGTCATAATAAAATCATCCTTTCTCAGGGATCCATTAATTTCAGGGATGTGCAGTACCACAGCATCCTTTTTCCTCAACTGCACATGGAGCTCATCACATAAGCATAATCTGGAAAACAATCTCTTACAGCATGTTGCATCAGCTTTTCTCTCCGTCTTGAATAAACAAATATGTGATGGCTCACAAAATAGATCTCCGTATTCATCGAAAACAAAATCCCGGTTGCTTGCCAACAGGTTTAATATAGACACTTGGTTTTATTTTGTTTTGTGAAGCATTTAACTCTGCCTTCTCCAACACCTGTACCCCCTTCCCAGTTCCCTTGGCTGTGTTTTAAATTAAGCTGCCTTGATTGTGGAAGAAGTCAAACGCAGCTTGGAGTTGTGTGGCTGCATACCAGTAGGAGGCCCTAACATGCTGAGATAGAAATTGTGGGTATTAGAGACAACCAGCTGAGTAGGGCTGGGATGATGGAAAGAATGGACGATTCTCCAGTCTGTTTTGGAATTGGTGGAAACTCTCAGTTTGCCCAATTGGAACCTAGTCTTAGCAACAACATCTTTTAGACCCCAAAGCAAACTTCCGATGTTACCCTTTGTGGGTCTTATCCCATTCTTTTGAACGTGCACGTTCACTTGATATTTTGTTGTTTTAATTAAGCAAGGTCTTAAGAAAAATGTAGAAAACCAACTCTGGCATTTTAAAGGTTTCTGTGTATGTAAATAACCAAGGACGCTGCTTTTGCTTTGTAGAGGACAAGACTGTGGAGAATGTGGAGGAAAAGAAGATAATAATGCCCAAGAAGAAAGTTAAAGAATTGAGAATATTGGATGGGAAGACTGCCCAAAATTTGTGTATGTAATATATTCATTTTTATTCAGGGCTCATTTGAGCTATTTTTCTCCAGCCTTTTCAAAAATAATATAATATGGTTTGATACTTAGAGGTAAACTATTACCGTAAATGCCGGCGTATAAGACGACTTCCGCGAGCGCTGAAATCGGCGCCAAAGACGGGGGTCGTCTTATACGCCGAGTCGTCTTATACGCCGGAAATACTGGTAGTTTCCGGCGTATAAGACGACGTTCTAGGAATGCGGCCCGGCTATAAAGACGGGGGTCGTCTTATACGCCGGGTCGCCTAATACGCCGGCATATACGGTATAGGAATGGATTATATTGTCTTCTCTGCCCTTCTTTCCATTAGCGGTATCCTCTGAAGATGCCATTTCTTCAGCAGAAATGGATGAAAATAGACGTGTAATAATGATCTTAGCTCTGTTTTGACTAGTGTAGGTATGGTTGCCCCCTCATTAGGACTTGGGTTCATTTTGATGGTGGTGTTTTCTTTCATAAATCTTAAGAATTAAAGCAGTAGAACTTAACCGCATATGCCAGTGAAACATGGACACTAACCTCACAATCGATACAAAAGCTATGAATGGCGCAAAGAGCCATGGAAAGATACACACAAGATAGAAAGACCCACACATGAATTAGAGCAGAGGTCCTCAACCTTGGCAACTTTAAGACTTGTGGACTTCAACTCCCAGAATTTCTCAACCAACTTTGCTCAGTCCACAAGTCTTAAAGTTGCCAAGGTTGGAGACCCCTGGATTAGAGAACAAACAAAAGTATACGATATCATCAAGAGGTGAAATGGAAACGGGCTGGTCACATAGCAGAAGAACTGATGGCAGATGGACCAAGGCAGCCATAGAATGGATCCCACTTGATAAAAAACGTCCACGAAAGAGACCTAAAACAAGATGGATTGCTGACATCAGCAAGTATGGCGGGCCCAATTGGCAAAAGAAAGCTCAGAACCGTATTGGTTGGAAATATGTAGAACAGGCCTTCATCCTGCACTGGATAGACAATGGCTAAAATGTATGTGTGTATATGTGTGTGTATATATACACACGTGTGTATATATACACACATACACAAATACATAAATACACACATACTCTGATATAGTTAAAACATAAAAGCAGCATTGTCAGATATTGTACATCTATCCCCAGACTTGTACCATGTTGCCTACATTTCTTAAGTTTTTTTAATTCTTCACGCCATAACTTCCTTGTATAAAATGGTGTTTTATTTTATGCAATGTATAAAATGGATAGAAACTTGTCTTCAAATTAAGAGTTCTGGATAAAAGCCATACTTTTCGCCATAAAATGTGCAAGAGGCGCTCATTTAATGTCCTCTCTCAAATTACGATGGTGTGTCATTTCAGCTATTTTCCTGGGATCTTTCCGCATGCCTTACGAAGAAATAAAACACATTATATTAGAAGTAGATGAAGCAAAACTGAGTGAAGCATTAATTCAGGTAAGTTACTATGCCATTTTCTTTAAACCAAATTTAACTCTTTTATGAAGCTCTGTGGGCATGTCAAGCTGGAAGTTAAAGTTTGTTAAAGTTTGCTTCAAATGTCAAAATTATGTGTCCTGAAGGGTGGGGGTGGGGGGTTAAAATTCTGATTTATGACAAAGGTAATATGCTGAAAATTTTCACTACAGATAATCCTTAAAATAGGGAGGAACAAATCCGGTTGATCCAAATGGAAGGATGGCCCAGCAGGGAACAGTAGGACCACACTCACAAATATGCATGTTGATTCATAATAATTTAAAAATCCTGTTTAGCATGCTGTAACAATCTAATCATTTGTGTCATCATCTCAATATTTTAGTTAGGGTGAATTTTGCTTCAGCATATCTAGAAAACCTGGGATGACAGATAACAAGAATCAGAAATAGACAACAGTGGAGTAGCTTGATCTTTTATGAAGTATTCCTATGCTTCGTATAATAATTATATATGTATGTATGTACCGTAAATGCCGGCGTATAAGGCGACTTCTGCGAGCGCTGAAATCGGCGCCAAAGACGGGGGTCGTCTTATACTCCGAGTCGTCTTATACGCCGGAAATACTGGTAGTTTCCGGCGTATAAGATGACGTTCTAGGAATGCGACCCGGCTATAAAGATGGGGTTCGTCTTATACGCTGGGTCGCCTTGTACGCCGGCATATACGATATGTATGTATGTATGTATGTATGTATGTATGTATATGTATATGTGTGTGTATATATGTATATGTGTGTAGGTCTTTGGTTATTCGGGTTTTCTCCTGTGTCAAATTGGAAGTGTCTTGGCGACGTTTCGACGAAGTCTCATTCGTCATCTTCAGGCTGGTGTTTTCGGCTTCGTGCTTCTATGTGTGTGTATATATAATAAGCAGTCATATTGAACAATTGTTCAATATAACAATCCAGAGTCTGTTAGAAATTACTTTGAATTGGAAACAAAGCTTTCATTTGAATTGGTGAAAGAGCTCATCTCTATATGTTATGATAGGTTTAATAATGAAAACCCACAAGAACGCCCAAGTACGGTATCACTTAATGAGTTGTTTTGAGACAGGAAAGAAAGGTGATATTTTTGAATGCAAGAAAGGGCACCTGTTTCAATATTTTCACTTAACTAACCTTTAAGTGTGCAATTAACATTTACAGAAAATAAGCTTCTGTTAAATTATTGCAGAAATGGGAAAAGTACTTAAGTGATGTCTCGGTTCTGTTTAACGGGCAGTTTTTAACGTCGCTGTTCTGACAGGCCTGCAAAATTAGAGAGATGAAACATGAGGGATTGAGTAGGTTGTTTTTCGATACTGTCACAAATACCTTCTTTTCACTTTCTCTAGTTAGATGTGTGGATTCTACTCAGAATTTTTTGTTGTAAAATGTTTAAATGAATGTGTGGCGATAGATTGGGCTCATGTGTGGAGTAAGACCTGAAAACTACACAAAGCCACCTCGTAAGGCAGATTTCATAGTTTGAAAGTTGTCGCTTTCCTTGTTCTTAGCTGCTCTGATGACGTTTCAATCCATTTTTCTGAATGGAAGCAGTAACCAGCTCTGGAAGATAATGGTTGAGCTCAAGCACTCTTTATTCCATCTGAGGTTGATTACAGATAGTCCTTGACTTAACGACCACAATTGAGCGCCAGATTTTTGTTGCTAAGCGAGACAATTGTTAAGTGAGCTTTGCCTCCCTTTACAATCTTTCTTGCCCTAGCTGTTAAATGAATCACTGCAGCCGCTAAGTTAGTAACATGATTGTAAAGTGAACCTGGCTTCCCCATGGAGTTTGCTTGTCAAAAGGTGATAAATGGAGATCACAGCAACATTCATAAAAATGGGAGCCCATTGCCAAGTATCTGAATTTTGATCCCCTGACCCTGGAGTTGCTAGAACGGTCATACATGTAAAAAAATGGTCACTTTTTTCAGTGTTGTTGTTAACATCAAACAGTCACTAAATGAATGGTTGCGAATCAGGGACTATCTACAGTTATTGAAATCAAGCACTCTTCATTGCATCCACCGTTGATTATTTGAGTATCATGGACCCCATAACTGTCTTCGCAGCAGTTACAGGGATAAGGAGTTTGAAAGCTGCTGACAGTTGGTGAAATGTTTGCTAACGATAGTTGGTTGTCATATAAAATATTATTTTTTCTTTCAGCTTAGTGAGAGTGAAAGAGCTCCCAGTGTCCTGATGTAGCAGGTGTTGATGAATTGCATTCACACCATGCTCCGGTGTATTTATAAAATTATTTCATTCTGCCTGATGTGTAGGAAACAGAAAAGCCAGTCAGTGATACATTAAAAGCGACCTCAGATCTAGTTTCCAAGCTATTCGATGTGGCATGTATTTTATTTTAAGTTTCTCCTTATACTCTCACAGCTTATCCACCCCACAGAAGTGCTTTGAGCATATATATATATATATATACTGTATACTGTGCTAAGCAATACACTATTTCATGGAAACAACAGACAGCTTAGAATTGCAGCACACCCTTCTTCCTGGATCAGTCAGTGGGTGCTGATGAATGTCTTCCATTTTTGAATGTTTGCAGTTGACCCTAGAGCATAAGGTCAGCATACATTTTCCTTCCAAACCACAAGGAGGATTTTAGCTTTAGCACTGTTAGGGAAAATGGCATTATATTCACAATAGGTTCCATGTAATTGTTATGCTTCCCATGTGTTAGGTGAGGGAGAGAACATTCAGGCCAGAGAACTAAGAATTATTGAGCAGTTGACATCAAGACACTTTTAAAAGTTTGTAATAATCCCAACTGGGTACAAACGCCCACTGACAGGTCTTTAATTCAGTTCTGATGTTGAATGTTGATCCTCCTCTGTTTCTGTATTTTTTGGACCATCTCTCTTTATCTTCTTGCAAACTCTACGCTCAAGCTTTCTCTCATTTTCATTTTATACCTAGTCCTTGCCATCCAAGGTACACACAGTATTGCGCTTTGGAGGTGCTACACCCCTCCTCCCCTAAATAATAAATAAAATAAATCAAGGTTGATGAAAGAAAATGCTTTTAATAAATGTGCAATGATCAGGGTGTGTTTTAATAGCAATAGCACTCAGACTTATATACCGCTTCGTAGTGCTTTGCAGCTCTCTCTAAGCAGTTTACAGAGTCAGCACATTTGCCCCAACAATCCCTGTCCTCATTTTACTGATCTTGGAAAGAGGGAAGGCTCAGTGAACCTTTAGCTCCTTCTGGATCAAACTCCAGACTGTGGAGTGCAATACTGCACTCTAACCACTGTGTCACCAGAGCTTTTAGGATTAGTTAGGATTTTTCCTTTCAGAATCTTTCTGAAGCAGCCATTATTATTACTTTTTTTTATCATCCAAGTCTTCCAAAATATATTCCAGCTGAACCCCTTAGTAAACATATTCTGGTATAACAATCACAACAGCAACGACAGCTGCCTGGAAAAGAATTTGACCAGTGATGGCTCCAGAATCTGGAATAAAGGATGCCTGATGAAACAATTTGTAATTGTTTCGATATAAGGCTTTATTGAACCATTCTTCAGAAGGGGATGAATAGGAAATATAATTTCATGATTCACACCGAAGTCCCTATTTGGAATGGACGCTGTCATGAATATATGGAAAGAAACCACTGGCGTGTTTCTGGTGTAGAGTCTCATATTTCAAGGTTATAGTATCACCTCATTATATTTGGAGCCAGGATATACACAACCCTTCGCTAAAAACATGGCAGAAATGTTTTCAGTATATTGAATGGGTGGTGAATTAAATAAGTCCCAAACAGTGACTATGTGGGGATTGCCTGCCTGTGAATTATGAAAAAAATAATTGCTCCATGGATATTAAAATAATCCTTTGAAGTTATAATGCCTTTTGCAAGTTTAGGACATTAAAGAGAGACAGTCTTTTAACTACCGCAAATCACTTTTTCATACTATTGGACACCGTTGTATGCTTGGAGAAAGATATGTGGGACAGTGTGAAGACCTCTAATTATTGTTCCCCCTTCCAAGAGAGAGAAGAGCAGTAATCCTAATTTCTGTTTCTCACATTAGAACTTGGTTAAGAATCTCCCTGAACAAAAAGAACTTAATGCCTTAGCTGAACTGAAGAATGAATATGATGATCTCTGTGAGTCAGAGCAGTTTGGAGTTGTGGTAAGTTGAATTGTGTCTCCTCTCCTCTCCTCTCCTCTCTCCTCTCCTCTCCTCTCCTCTCTTCTCCTCTCTCCCTTCTCTCCTCTCCCCTCTCCACTCTTCGCTCTCTGCTTCTGCTTCAAGACAGAAATTCTTTTAAAGTTGTATCCCAGAAAATAATTGTTCCTTCAAGTGTAACTCAACTTCTGGGGATTTGGGGGCACATCCATAAAGTCTTTTTTTTTTTTTTTGCAACATCACTTTCTTTTTGAGAGATTTGTTTCCTACTGTACACTCTAGCTAAAACTCTTAATCCTGCCTGGCCTTATTTGCCATGATGATCCTAGTTTTGCTAGATGTTACTACCTTGCTGGATCCCTAATCACTGGTCAAATGGTGTAATAGGTTGTGGAATTAAAGATATTTGGAATGTCTTTTTCCAACTTCGCTGCAGAATGGCCTGCAAGCATAAAAAGATTTTAATCCATTAATACTTCTTTAGGTTCTTGGGGAGGAAAAAAAGGGTCAGAGCAATGTTATAAAATACAAAATTACTTGGATATTTTCTTCTAGTAAGTTCCTCTAAGCTAGATATTACAGTTTTCATCAAAGCTAAAATATTGCTTCAAGGAAGGCTACGAGATACAGTCTAGGAAAAGAAAACTTCGTGGCAAGAAAAAAAAAGATATCACTCAATTTGAACTGCATTTCTTTATTAGCAGTTTTATAGGTGTTGATTGCAGCTACTCTGGTTTTGTTCCTGTTACACTGTCAAAAGTCTTTGTTTCTTTTGTACATTTATCTTCCCTTAGGGCTCCATCAAGACCAGTGAATGTCTTTTCCTTTAGAACAGAATTGCCATATTTTCTCACACTTGTCATTTAAGCTTCTTTTTGGTCTCTTTGGATTCCAAGATGTTCTAGGCTGAGTAAATTTTTCAGAGGCTGAACGCTTCATTCCATGTAGTGTAAAAGAAAAAAAAAAGTTGGATAAGATTAGAGCCAAACAACATCTTACATGATGAACTCCTGTGTAATTATCCAAATAATAGCCCACTGAAGAACCATCCCATTCATGGGAAAATTTTGCCGTGTTAAAACTTGTAGGGAATTCTTAATTTATTCAAACAGCCCTATTTTGGGGACGGAGTGTTAATCTCTGACAGTTGTTCTACTTATCTGCAAATCCGCCGCTTACACACAAATGCATTTTTATTATTGTTTTATGTCTGGCAAAAAAATTCTGCCAGACCTGGGAAAGATTCTCCTGTTTATGGATCACAGAGCACATATATCAGTGGAAAGTGATGAAGAGCTAAAGAATGCTATTCCACCTTCACTGCCTTTTTATTTCCATGTAACCTCTTGGGTGTAAAACTTAATTCCAATGCATTTTTTCAAGGTAGTCTTAAGCCTCCGACGATGTTTTCAGCCTTTTCTCTCAAGATTTGCTCATACGGGCTCAAATACACTCATGATAGCTAAATCTTTCAGAATAATTTCTAATCTTATTTTGCCTCATACTGTATTCTTTGAAGAAAAAAAAATATATTTTAATTTAGGCTTTGGTGAGAGAAGTTGCCTAAAGAGGGGGAAAGGGGGGGGTCAAATAAGAGACAACCTAACCCAGAGCTGGATAAGAGACAGAGAAAGAGAGCAAGAGAGTAAGGATAGCCACTTCCCTAGAGCAGTGATGGCGAACCTTTTAGAGACCGAGTGCCCAAACTGCAACCCAAAACCCACTTATGCATCGTCGGGTGCCAGGTGGGTGTGGCCCATTGGCTGGGTGTGACCAATTGGGTGGGCGTGGCCAATTGGGTGGGCATAGCTGTGGTGGTAACAGCAGACGGGATGGGACTAAAAAAGTTCAATCAATCAATTCCAACTTTGCAAGATCTTTTTTTCCCGCGAGAAGTTGAAATTGACTGATTGAACCTTTTTTTTTTTTTTTTGCACATGACGGCGGAGGCCTAAAGCGAAAAGGTTTTATAAAACCCAGCTGAAGGCCTCGGATTGGGCGACAGCGCACGTGACCACAGAGAGGGCTCTGAGTGCCGCCTCTGGCACCCGTGCCATAGGTTCACCATCACTGTCCTAGAGCCTCCCAGGCATATCCATTTGGGTGAAAGTAGTAAGAATTCACTGTGGCAAGATTCTGTTAATTGTATGTAAGCAAATAAAGGACTGAACATTGGCTAGATGGTTCTATATTGTTCTTGAGCTTACTCAAGTGTTACCCAGATGTATTGATACCAGACATCTAAGTCCATTTTTTAACTGAAAACCAACTTCAAACGAGATATAAAGTGAAGATTTGAGTGAGCAACTGTCTATTGCTTTCCTTGCTGTTGCCTCTATAAGGTGAAAATACAGTGATAACAACAAAGCTACCAATGTTTTGGATCAAAAATAATACACAAATTACTATGAGAACAACTGTTAGGAGTAGGTATGTTGTAAGAGCATTGCCAGTGTTGTTTCCTGAAGCTTGTATGTCATTTTTTTTTTTGTTAAAGAATATATGTAAGTTCACAGTATATACTTTCCCATACATAGGCATCTATAAAATGTGTTGTTTGTTACAGTCTTGTTAAATGATGGAATTAGAGGATCACATTGTTGCTATACAAATACATGGAACTTTTCAAAGGTCCTATACTGCTTATAAAATCTGATCATTTTTATAGATTCCTCTTATTTAGCCTGCAGTTAAAAATCGCATCATTGCTAAAAGGACTCCTGCTTATAATAATCTGAGCCCTGGTGCTTAAAAATTATAGATTGGTTGCAATTTGTATCTGACGGTGCGAGGTTGTTTTCTTTCTTCAGAATGCACACACCTATTTGCATATACAAATTAGGTAAGTTAATGATTAATATAAGGCTTTAATTGGATAATCAATATACCCATCAAATCCAATAAAGGTCAAAATTAGATGTTTAAAATCCATTTAGAAAAGTCACACTTTCTAATTAGGTGACTTATTATAATAGTCTAATTAGCTTAATATTCTTATTTGTGCATGAAAATTGGAGCATCACATTTTCATTTAGATGAAACATTAAGATGAATTATATCTTCAAATTAGGTAACAGAATTTGGAAATGCATCCTAATATAAGAAAAAAAAGTTTTGCAGAGAATTTGAAGAAGATGAAACTGGATGATGGAAAACAAAGGAAAGTTGCTATAGCGATATCTTAAGCTTCAGATATGGAAACTGACATATTCAAAACTGTTTATAGTTTTGATGTTGCTTTAATGTTTGTTGTTTGAGATTTTTCTGATCCAAAGAAATAATCTAGTATTTAATAAGCACTTCCTGACATGCTTTATGAATTTCACCATGGTAATCTAAAGAAAGCATTAAAAACAAATATACAATTTAATTGTCACATACATATTTCAAGTACAATAATGTTGGTTATATTTATTCTTTCTCCGTTCTCGGTGCACTTTTCTAATTCATTCTCCTTTTCCTTCCTTGCTCTTGCTTAGTCCTTAATCTTTATTGGAAGATGAGAAAAAAAATATTAAGCAATATTTAGTTCTTCAATATTACAAGCCAGCTTCCTCAGCGCATAGATGCATGATTGGATTGCAACTCAATTTGGAGGAATTAACTTTTCTCAGTCTGACATGAATTTTAACTCCTTTCAAGAACACCATTTGACCTTCAGGATGACAGCAATATAACCCTCTTGAAGGAGATCCACCAGGGCGAAAGAGTCTGGTTATTTTAGGTGCTCAAAGAAGGAAACAGCCATTTGGAAATGCTTTAAAGTAGCAAAAGCATAAATCTGTCAGATGCTCTGTAGGGAAATAAAGTACTTGTAACAGCTTTTAAAAGCTATTGGTACTGCTTCCTCTTTTTAATATCGTGAAGAATCAGGTTGAAAAATGAAATTCCCCTGTTGCTATTTTGATGGACAGTGACTTCATAATACAACTAAAGCCTTGCATATTATGCCATTGCATTCAGTATCCCTGGATGCTTCGTGTAGTGAATCATAAAACCAGAATCTAAGTCTTAGGAAATGCAACATAGGATCATACAGTATCTGGCAACTGTCATAATTTTCAGTCAAATTGTTTTCCAGGCTTACAAGGCTTAGTGAGCTATAATTCTGCGGCGACCCTAAAAACATTTAGTAATTGTATCTGTTCACATCACCATTATTTGCACGGTGATTATGCTGTTACCAGCCATAATAGAAGCTCTGCAGTGGAGATCAACATCTTTCTTTAATGGAGATTGAATAGAGTTCTATAAATCTTCTTCAGCAGTGCATATATCACAGGGGCTTTGATTAAGCTAATAGTAAACTCAACACCCGGGTTTTGCTTCTGATGGTTATACTTCTTTAAAATGTATATAGAAATCTCTAAAATAATATCACCTTGGAAAATATCATCAAGAAAAAAAAGGGCATTGATAAACTATTTGGAGGAATAAAGTAAAGTGACAGGATATGTTGTAGCGGGGGAGAATAAATCACCAGCTAGTGTTCATTGTAATGTTTATTCAATATTCCAGGTTCACCCTTGTTTAATGAGCACTGTAAAGCTATTCTGTAATTGTATGTCAGCAAGTACAAACATTTGTGATTGTTCCTGGCAATGCAAAGTTGAGCAAAAATGCAAAGGCCAGATTTAAATTAAATGACGATATACATCAGTCATTGGTTTCATCGGTCCAGGTTTTGTTTCCTGGCTACTTTAGTTAGCTATGTTATTGATAAGATGACTTCTTTGCAAATTAAAAAAAAGGAAGTCATTTAATGTTAAAGGACTTTTAAGCTTGATATGGAAATGAATAAACAAATATGTATGGTGAAATGATTGGCGGAGGGGACCCCTTGTGAAAATGCTACCTTGCTGGCTAGAAAGCTTCAAGTGTTTGCTCATTTAAGTTGCCAGAATTCAAAATTTTCATCTCCCTCCCTCTCTTTCCATCTCTCTCTCTCTCTCTCTCTCTCTCTCTCTCTCTCTCTCTCTCTCCTTCCCTCTTTCTCTTTTCTCTTTCTTTCTCCCTCTCCCTCTCCCTCTCCCTCTCTCTCTCCTCTCTTTCCATCTCTCTCCCTCTCTCTATTTCTCTTCTCTCTTTCCATCTCCCTCTCTATCTCCTCTCTTTTTCTCTCCCTCCCTCCCTCTCTCCTCTCTTCCCATCTCTCTCCCTCTCCCTCCTTCCCTCTCTCTCTTGTCTCCTCTCTTTCCATCTTTCTCTTTCTTTCTCTCTTTCCATATCTCCTTCTTCCTCTCTCTCTCTCTTTCTCTCATCTGTCTGTCTGTCTATCTATCCATCCATCCATCCATCCATTAAATTAATTAAGCCTGGGGGCAATTTTTATTTTCCTTAGGTTGAAAAACCAACCCACCAGCCAGCCAGTCAACTAACAACTACCTAATTTAAATAAGTTGTACATCCCTCCACCCATGGAAAAATCCCCTAGAAATGTTGCCATTCATTTCTGTTTTGTTTTATTGTCTGAAGCACTCCCCCCCCCATATGTTCCCCCTCTTCCTTTCCAGATGAGCTCAGTGAAACTGCTGCAGCCTCGTCTCAACGGGATCCTTTTCAAGCTCACGTTTGAAGAGCACATCAACAACATCAAGCCTGGCATCATGGCTGTCACAATCGCGTGTGAGGAGCTGAAGAAGAGTGAAAGCTTCACTAAGCTTTTAGAACTTGTGCTGATGATTGGGAACTACATGAATTCCGGCTCAAGAAATGCCCAATCGCTGGGTTTTAATATCAGTTTCCTTTGCAAGGTGAGTGTGAACAGTATAAAATATATATTTTTCAAGTGTCAGTACATCTGCACCCACTTCCAAATCAATCAATCAATCAATCAATCAGTCTCTCTCTCTCTCTCTCTCTCTCTCTCTCTCTCTCTCTCTCTCTCTCTCATCTATCTATTTCTATCTATCTATCTGTCTGTCTATCTAGCTATATCTATCTATCTATCTATCTATCTATCTATCTATCTATCTATCTATCTATCTATCTATCTATCATCTATCATAGATATCTATGTTATGAAAAAGTTACTATTTAAATATTTTTTATACCCAGACACGGAGATGATTCAAGCATGGATTAACCTGATTTAGGGGACCCCCTGTCCATAATTAATACTGTGTGAATTACTGGGTGCATTTCTCTAAATTTAGTGTGCCGGACTTCCAAGGAGATAACTATCACAATGTCAATAGAATATCTTAAATGTATTTGTTGTGGTGCTGCTATCAGTAATCGCAATTACAACTAAGTCTTTGGAAAATGTACAATATGCCTTTGTATGGATTTGAATGAGACCATCAAGCTAATGGGTTTGGCCCAAGCGTCAAATTTTGTAGTTTCTCTCCCTGTTCTTCAATCACTAGTATTAAAGAGAAACTAAATTCATGTCAACGTTAATCCATAATGAACATCACTTTAATCAAGAAATAAATTTATAACGTGGATGTAACCTAAACATCCATCACTGTTTCTTATTAATGAATTAGGAAGTTTGTCTTTAATTTTGCCTTCCTTCCTGGATATGAAATGGAACCCTAACCCTAACAGAGGGATAGAATCAAGATCAAGTGAAGTATTAATACCACTTTACAATGCCTTGGTAAGGCCACACTTGAAATATTGCATCCAGGTTTGGTCACCACGATGTAAAAAAGATGTTGAGACTCTGGAAAGAATGCAGAGAAGAGCAACAAAGATGATCAGGGGACTGGAGGCTAAAAGATATGAAGAATTGGGGGTGTCTAGTTTAATGAAGAGAAGGATGAGGGGGGATATGACAGCAGTGTTCCAATATCTCAGGGGCTGCCACAAAGAAGAGGGGGTCAACCTATTCTCCAAAGCACCTGAAGGCAGGACAAGAAGCAACGGATGGAAACTAATCAAGGAGAGAAGCAACCTAGAACTAAGGAGAAACTTCCTGACAGTTAGAACAATTAATCAGTGAAACAACCTGCCTCTAGAAGCACTGAATGCTCCAACATTGGAAGTTTTTAAGAAGAGACTGAAATGGTATAGGGTTTCCTGCCTGAGCACGGGGTTGGACTAGATGACCTCAAAAGTCCCTTCCAACTTTATTATTATTATTGTTGTTGTTATTATTATTATTATCTGTAAGCTCTCGGATATATGAAGTAGCTAAGTGGATGTACAACTGTACATTCTGCTGGGAAATTAGTCCTATGATAGTTTTGTTAAACTGAGTGGGAATAAGAAATAATATCCTTGTCTCAGAATAACCCTGAAAATTGAGGATATTTAAGATAACTTGTTTACATATTTCACCATTTGATTAAAAAATAATTTACTGAAATACAGCATGCATGTTCTTGCAGGTTGTTTTTTTAAAAAAAAAATATTGTCCTTGTAGAGTTAAAAATAGATAATTCTATGAGAACACCATTAATAAATAACAGCTAAAATATATCTAGATCTGAGTGTGTGGTTAAGCTTCTACTTTTATCCACTGCTACTCTAGATGTGTTAATGAGGGCAGCCAAGATCACAGTTATCAAGAAAAATTGAGATGAGAAAACATCTTCTTTTTAGAAACATAGCTATATTATTTTAAGGCTAATCAGTTCTTGTATTGTATATTCACATCGGTTTATTTATCAAATATAACTTGTAATAAGGGCAATTAAAAAGTCACAGTTCATAATTACTACGATAAAAAAAGATGTGCAGCTGAATCTAAATGTCAAATAAAAAAAACACTATGCTACTAATATACGGTTGGAAATTGTGGGTTGTAAATCATAAATACAGGTTGTAGTTATGACTGGCAAGGAGAACTGAAAACATAAAATCCTAAAATAAAGATCTTTGTGGTAGAGTAGCTTTTTCTGTGTCATAGAGAGGCTTGCTTTTTGTGTTATTGCCTTATTTTTTACAAAGGGGGGCGCGCGTTGGCTCAACCGTCAAAGACAATGAGATTGTCAGCTTAAAAGCCGACAGCCCAGGTTCGAGATTTGAGTATCGCATGACACTCCTACCTATCAGTTTGAAAGTATGCAAATCTGAGTAGATAAATAGATACCATTTCTGTGGGAAGGTAACAATGTCCTATGTGCCATGTTGGCGCATGACCACAGAAATGTCTTTGGATAATGGTGGCTCTCTTGGCTGACCAAAGAGCCTCGATATATAGTCATGTGGTGTATGACCACAGACATGTCTTTGGACAATGCTGGCTCTCTTGGCTGACCAAAGAGCATCAATACCTAGAGTCAGACTTGACTGGACAGGGTGATCTGTAACATTAAGTAAAAGCCAGCATTTCCAATGCTGGCTTTGCAATCCATGGCTGCTCTGTTGCTGAATTACTATAATTAGAGTTTCAACTCAGGTTGCTAGTTTTGAAACAGCATTTGAACCTACCTGGGAGTGAGGTTATACCTTGAATGGGAGGGACATAATAACTGTGTATGTACGCATGTAAGTTTGAAAAAAAAAGTTAAGAGATTAGTTTTGTTAACCAAGAGTTTAATCTCAGCATTCCTTATTGGAAGCGGTCTCCTATAAGCAACAGATGGTATTCTTACCCTTTTTAATTGAGTGGACTGCGGTGAAGCTCCCCAATCACCTGTCACAAGGGCTGTCTTGAAATAATCAACCACAGTGCTGTTGATTTGTGCATACCTAGCCCTGGGCAGTTTTGGTCCTGAATCACTGGGAAAGAACATTTTTCAGTGGCGGATGTAGAAAGAAAGACATCTTGGAAGTATGCATTAAATGTGTCTGGGTTCTATCTGCAAAACTAATATCTTTATGTTGATGGCAAATCCTTAAAAATGCATTATCTTTCTGGATGTTATAGTGTAGCCTGTGGAATTACTGAAGAAACCAGCAATTTGTAAACAACCCTTGGCAGAGAATTGCAGGACTTAATTTTGCTTAAATAAAAGAGACTTCCATTAGAATTCATGGACTGCATCAAGGCTGGCAGTCAGTAGTAGTTTTGATATATGCACTGAAGCATTCATGATTGTTGATTCATTGAACTGTTAATATTTATACAACTATGGTTCAGGAAAAAAAAAGGATTTGAATAAACCCACAGCCTCATTAGTAGTCAGGAGAGTACCACATCGTTGTGGTAGCTTTCAAAGTTTTGCATCTATAAATTGACTGGAGGTTGTTTAGCATTTTCACAATTGTTGCCATTCGAACAATGAGAAATGTGGCAGACATTCTGATTAGTAAGTTAAATTTGGGTTGGTTGTCGTGTCTATTAAGTGGCTTCACATCCCATTTAAAACAAAAGTCATATAATATTTATAGCAAATTCTCATCAACCTGAAATGAAGTGTTGAATAGAGTGCAATAAGGTTCAGCCCTAGGTCTAGTACTCTTCAGCTTTTTTATTAATGGTTTGAAGAGGTATGGGGAGTGCTTAACTGCTTATTTAACAGTGTACACAGAGTTGGGCAAAGAAAAAAGATGACCTTGGTAGATTACAGAGAATAGAATAGAATAGAATAGAATAGAATAGAATAGAATAGAATAGAATAGAATAGAATAGAATAGAATAAGGAATAGAGTAGAATAAGGGATAGAATAAAATAAGGGATAGAATGGAATGGAATGGAATAGAATAGAATAGAATAGAATAGAATAGAATAGAATAGAATAGAATAGAATAGAATAGGGTAGGGTAGGGTAGGGTAGGGTAATGACAGATTCTAGTTGGTTGTTAAGAAATGAATATTGGCATAACATTATAAATCTGTATTATGTTTGGCCAGCCCTGTTGTTGCTCAACTAAAACAAACAACAAATCCTAGTAATGTGTGTGTGTGTGTGTGTGTGTGTGTGTGTGTGTGTGTGTGTATGTGTACACATATGCATATATAACTCTAGAATCATCCACAGTCATATATTTGAGTGATGGGAGATTTAAGACAATCCACATATAGTTAGACAGTATTTCAGGAGAAAGTCATATATATATAAAAAAAGTTATTTTTCTTCCATTGGAGTACCTCTTTATCTCACAGAGCGAACAAAGAACATGTAGAACTAAGAACACTAAAACTAAAATTATAAACTGCTAAAAACTGCCTTTTTTAAAAAAAAATAATAATAATATCTAACATAAGGGTTCTTTAAAAATAATATTTTAAGCCCACATTTCGTATTGGTGTTAACTTTGAAATGCAATTAATTTATCTTTGCAAGCAAATACAAGAACATATGTTGAAAAAGCTTTCTTGAAGCAGAGTCCTAAGAAATCACGTTTCCCCCCCTTTCTTATGTCTTCCATTTTTGCAGATTAGAGACACAAAATCATTTGATCAAAAAACAACCCTGCTGCATTTCCTGGCCGATATTTGTGAAGAGAAATATCAAGACATCTTAAAATTCCCTGATGAACTTGAACATGTAGAAAGTGCCAGCAAAGGTAACTCAAAAGATAAAATGCGGAGTAATTTTGATCTGCTAACTTGTGGAAAGTCTTTTGAACACTGAATTTTTTACCGTGTGGGACTGTGAAAACTGTAATGATGGGTAATGCTAATGGATAGTTCTTTTCTAGCTGTTTATTGATTAGGAGAAACCAAATAATTTGCTTTACTATGCAATTAATAATAGGATACAATACTTTATTAAGTATTAAGTAATAGGATACAATACTTTTCCTTTAGGTAGTTCTCGGAGTGTGGGCTGGAGCATTGGGGGTCCTCAAGATCCTTTCAGAGGTCTACAAAGTCAGATAAATAATTTCTTGGTTTTACTTTTGAAACCAGTAAATGTCCCAAAAGTAATTTTTCAAAAGGCAATTTTCTTTGTTTTGCTTGAACACATTTTGCTTCTCATTCAAGAAGCTTCTTCAGTTCTGGGTGAGAATTAAAACGTCTACGAACAAAACAAAGAAAATCCAGTTAGATTTTGAAAAAGCAACTTTGGGACAGCCATAAATATTGATGGATATGACCCATGTAAACTAAGCTATTTGGGGGTCCTCAATCATTTTTAAGAATTTAAAGTGGTGCCAAGTCCAAAATCTTTCACATCTGCTGGCATAAAAGATTACAGTGAAGTGCTTTGAAGCACAGACGCATCACCTTTCAACTCATTAACTATCTCAAAAATTTAGTTTCTTGTCTTTATGTGCAATTAAAATGTTCTGTTTTTCTCATCTGATTGAACGGTTAAAATCAGAGCTTTAGCAAAATTATAGACATGTCTCTCTTGGGGGTGGGGAAATAAAAGAAATTAAAAACCTGTCCAATTAATCCACATTTTTGGGGAAAAAAGGCTTTGCAAAATGCAAAAAGGTTATAATAGATATTTAGTCTACACAAATTAATCTTATTTTCATATGATCCCAAAGGAACAAAGCTACAGAATTTGCCTTGACAATGTTGTGTATAACTCTACTAGCCCAAACTCTTGACATCGGAACATTTTGGCCATGAACTCTATAGGCACGCATGGATAAAATATGAAGGTGTTTGCTAAATTAAATTCAGATTAGGTTAAACGTGGGTCTTATCAATTAAATACAATGAATTTAACAGTGTTTGCCATCACTTATGTAATTAGAAACAGATGGTCGATTCCCTATTGCAGAACTTTACATAGCTTTTATGAATGTTCACCGTGGTGCTGGTGCTTATGCTAATTATTCTTCAGTAAAGTTTTGGATCTGAATTGTAGGAGGTCAATATTAGCGAAAATGTTCTCATAACTAGATGTTTTACTATCCAGGTGTATATTATAGCGGAGTTCAGGCATGAAATACATTTTGCCTAATGATCAAAGATGAACTTTAATATAATATATAAAACACGTAAGCTATTTTTAAGACAACACCTACACATATACAAGTGTTACCATCTTACTAGGTAGCTTTGGCAGTTTCACTAAAAAACCTCTGATGTGTGAAAAGGTCAGCTCAAGGGATTGGTAAAGTTTAATTAAAACCACTGTACCAGAAAAAGCGGGAAAGACTTAGGAATCTAAAATTCTGTTTCCCTTAAGATTTTGAATATATTTCAAGTTTGAGTTGCTTAAGTTTTCTTCTTCTTATTCGTCTGTCTGTCCGCCCGTCCATCCATCCATCCATCCATGAAATATTTGGATCTACTCAAGAAGCTCTTAAATAAATAAATAAATAATAAAACGATTAACATTTCCCAGGACCATACTTAATTGATAAGCAGTGGAAATTCTTGCACGCTTTGTAACTGCAACTCAAGGCTTAAGTACTCTAGGTAATCATTGGCATTCACATTTAACAGTATGGATTAAGTATGGAAACTCTTGTCTTCAGATTAGTCTTTTTTTTAAAAAAAAATTAATAATCTTATTTTTCAAAGGATTCCCATTAGTGTCCCTGGCTGGATGTAGCAGCAGATGACAAAAAGCTAAGCAAGATAAGATCTTTGGGACATTGGGACAGGGACAATCAGAATATCTCAATGTAGAGTATGCCATTTCTGTGTTTTTGTCAAAAAGAAAAAAAAAGTATGTAGATATGCCCATATAATCACTGAGAGCTGACCTTGTCTCAAAAAGCTTTATTTTTTTTTATTGAATATTATAAAATGGAGATGTTCAGGCAGACAGAACCCATGAATTTGATTGGCATAATATAATGTAACTTCCAGGTGTTCAATTGCTTTAATTTTGATACTATATACCTCATTTAAACTACAACATCGTAAGGACACATGCCAGTTATTTTTATGACCAATTGGGTATACATGAAAGATCTAAGATAAATTACCTCTATTCTCCAAGTACCTCTACTTTCTTCCTTAGGTGCTATTATTATTACTATCATTATGCATTTTTGTTTCATTATACCGTATTTTCCGGCGTATAGGGCGACCCGGCGTATAAGACGACCCCCGACTTCAGCGCCAAGTTGCATGCCTAGAAAGTCGTCTTATACGCCGGAAACTACCGTAATTTCCGGCGTATAAGACGACTCGGCGTATAAGATGATCCCCGACTTCGGCGCCGATTTCAGCACTTTAGAAAGTCGTCTTATACACTAGAAAGTACGGTATAATGTTTTTACCTTTTTATCACAAAAGAGAATGTAAGTCAATCAGAGAGCAGTTGGATCAGAGCAGTATATAAGCCACAGTAAATAAAATCAAATACATAACAAAAGACAAATATTACAAGCAATAAATAAAAGTAGAATCAATAATAGCCTAAAGCATAGAAAATTAAGCTCTAGGCTTAAAATACTTTTTTAAAAAAAAATAAAAAATCCAGGGAATATTATGATACCTGCTTGAAAAGATAAAGATGAATTTCCCTGGAAGGAGCATTCTGCAAATGAATTATCACAAGAGAAAATGTTCTGTCTTTGCTTGACAGATACATCATTTCCCACTAACAGAGCTGTATCACAATCTTGATATTCATAAAGGCTTCAGCAATAATACATCTTGATCTCTTCTAGATGCCTCAACATTCTTTAGATTATACTGTAAAATTAAAATACCTATCTCTGGGAAGTGTGTGTTGAGAAGTTTTTTTTTTCTTTAAGCCTTTTTTTTTATAGAAATGATGGGTCCTAAGGTATTCATGAAGACAGTAGGAAGTGTTAGAGTTAGTCTAATGACGGTTTTAAAAAATGCTCAGGGCCAGGACAGTATTGGAAGAAGGAATTTTTGCCTACTTTGCAGGAATGGTTTTTTAAAGTTTCTTACTTATCTGAAATGGCAAAAATTTCGGCTTTTTTGAAAGATCAATCGCAAGAGAAGTATCTCTTGGTGTGGAAAAGATGGATAAATTTTATACAATATAGGTATGATATTAGAAAATATTATTTAGCTTTTGAATAATTTATATTTAAAGTCTAAGATATTATTTAGAAGTGTAGAATAGTTTAGTTTTTTTTTCTTTTTTTTACTTTTATTTTTTTTATTTTCTTTCTTTTCTTCTTTTTCTCTTTCTGTTTTTTTATATATAATGGAGTTAATGTATTTAACAATTTGTTCATTGAATGTAATCATATTTGTTTGTGGTTTATTTGAGTTTATAAGCTTTTTCTTCTAAGTTTTAGTTAACTCTGTATCTAGTTCTGGGAAGAATGGGGGAGGGTTTTGGGGAGGGTTGGGAGGGATTGGGAAAGGGGTTTTTAATTGTAAAATTGTAAAAATTATAATAATAAAAAAAATGCTCAGGGCTTACCAATGCAGCCGTGCTTGGGAACAAAAATGAAGCGATGGAATTATTCCACATGTAGGTGCACAAAAATTGATTAACATACACCCAGCATAAGCAGCAGACATCACTGTAATGAAATCATAAGGAATCATTTTAGTGGCTTGCACAGGGGAAATCAGAATATTGGATGTCACACTTTTGCAGGGATGAAAAAGAGGATTTACCAAACAGTAATTGCTATGTGCTTGTGGAATTACACAATTGGTTGCAATCAATATCATCATCGTTTAAAATGGGAGAAACATCATGACAGAACTTGTTGGGGTTTTTTTTCCCCCTAATGTGATTTACATATTTAAGTAGGATGTGTTGATAAAATGTATATTCCTTTATTTTTTTGTACCGTAAAGGAAAGATGATAAAAACCCTAAGACAGGTACTTTCCTGTCAATACTCAATTGCTCAATACACATTAACTTCCACAATTATTGTGGAGAGAGGGGTGGGGGGGGCTAATTAATATATCCAAATGCAAAATATTTAGGAAAATATTTTTTAATCAGTAGAAAATGATCCGTAGAATTCCACAGGGCAAATGTGAAAGGATATTTTGGTATTTATTGCCAGCACAAAACTCTATGGTATTTAGTCAGCCTCAGCTTTTGAGCTATTAGTATTGACTGACTAAAAAGGATCATCTGTTGTAGATAATTTAAAGTTGATTAACTTTAATTGTGTTGCTGAGAAAGGATGGGCAATACATACAAAGAAATCATGGTAAAGAGCTCATAAGTCAGATTTCATAATTGGATTTTTATTTCTCAATTTATATTGATACTTCTACATGAGATAAAATTATGTATACATTGTTTAAGTTATTAAAAAATAGTTCCAGTCCTCTCCTCTCCCCTCCATATGTCAAAGTCAATCAGCCCTACATCTCTGCTCTACTATTGGGTATGTTTTGTTTAATGATAAGAAGGAATAGGGGTGACATGATAGCAGTGTCCCAAAATCTAAGGGTTGCTATAAAGAAGAGGGGGCTCAACCTATTCTCTAAAGATTGTGAAGGTAGGTCAAGAAGCAACGGATATCAACTAATCAAGGAGAGAACTAACCTAGAACTAAAGAGAAATTTCCTGACAGTGAGAACAATTAATCAGTGTTCTCTGGACTTGCTTCCAGAGGTTGTAGGTGCTCCAACACTGGAAGTTTTTAAGAAGAGGTTGGACAAGCATTTGTCCGAAATGGTATAGGAGTTTCCTGCTTGAACAAGGGGTTGGACTAGAAGATCTCCAAGGTCCCTTCCAATTCAATTTTTCTGATATTCTGGTATTCTCAGTTTGTATTCTCTCTTTGGATTCTCGAGATGAGCCCATCTTTGCCAGTTATCTTCTGTGGATTCTATTTTAAATGCAATATCCAGAGCAAGGTTTTGTTTGTTTGTCTGCTTGTTTAACAGCAGGCACACCCTGAGACCTTGTGATACTCATAATAGTCCAAACAGATTTCCACCGTTCTGCAATATAATTCAACCCAAATAAATGGTCTGACTTAACACATTATAGAGGGAGTGATAAACTGAAAGCAAATATTCCTCTAGTTTACGATTCTTGCAAAGCACTCATCAAACGAAAACAATCTGAATTCTGAATTTCATTCAGATTTAAACGGTCAACCTGGAACCTTCAGAAATTGTTGTCTTGTTACAGTGTTGATTTTTATTCATCCAGAGTTTTCATGCTTTGCATTGAAAAAATGTCTGGTACATATACATAAACATATACATATACATATACACAGTGCTTTTTTAAAAAAAAAAAAAAAAAGGTGCCGGAACTCACACACATCATACAGCCTGCCTTGGCTACCCTACAAGGTTCCATCCAAAAAAGGTGCCAGAACTCCATTCTGGGCATTCTGTGACAAAAAAAGCCCTGCATATACCTATACCTATACGTGTGTGTATGTGTATATGTAAATGTATATGTATAACGCTTCTGTTAAACTTTAAACTGTTAGACTTTTTGAACTTGAGTGCTTTGCTTTTCCTCTGCTGCATTAATGAGTAGTGTAAGAGGAAGAACTTTGACATTTGAGGAGGAGAGAGAACATGCAACTCCTGAAGTGCTAATTAAAATGTTGTGAAACAATATTATCCTCTTTAGTTTTACATTGTTAGTTCTAATGCAGATTCCTTTTAACAAGCTTCCTGATCAGAATGCACTGGGCCTCTCATTATTTCTCTTGATTCAGGGAAGATGGTCTTTTTGTAATCCTCTTGAAAATGCAAAATAAAACCAGAAATATAAAACAAAATTTCTTTCATGAACATTTCATTAGTACTGTGGAAACAACACGCATCCTCATTTTAAGGCTTTCTGTAGCAAAGCAGAGTGTGTTTATAGCTTAACCTAGATAAAATACATTGGGTTGGTGAACTAAGGCAACAGAATTGTAGAGACTTTGAAGCAGACTTAACTATGTGTTATGACCCAAACCCATGATTTATGAAGAAGTAATTAATGTGAATATAGAGTAAGAGGTGACTATTCCAAATTTTGTCAAATTTCACAGATGTCTTAGAGGAAAACATAATTATACAATTTATTTCATACAACAAGACTCCCTTGTAAGGGCAGAAATATAGTGCGGACAAAATGTTAGTAAAACCTAAATTCAGAGCCTTTGTATGCCTTAAAGTACTGCTGTCTGGTTGAAGTAAATTTGGAGAGGTTTTTAAAAAACCCCACTGTGTTCTTTATTGATAAACAGATTTGATTTAAAGACCAAGCAAGCTATAGAATACAATGGCTAGATGATACTATTCTGGAATAAAAACACAGCAAATAAATCCAAAATATGCTTGCAAGTTTCAATCTTTTTGTTTATTTTTTTTTCCAAGCTACTTTTTTTCTTTGTACAGTTAGTCCTCAACTTACAACAGTTCATTTAGTGACCATTTGAATTACCATGGCAATGAAAAAAGGGACTTATGACCATTTTTCACACTTATGACCATTGCAGAATCCCCATGGTCACGTGATCAAAATTCAAATGCTTGGCCATTGACTCATATTTATGACGGCTGCCGTGTCCCACAGTCACGCGATTCCCTTCTGCAAGCATCTGACAAGCAAAATCAATGAGGAAGCTAGATTCACTTAACAATCGTGTTACTAACTTATTATCTGCAATGGTTTCACTTAACAACTGTGGCAAGAAAAGTCGCAAAATGGGGCAAAACTCACTCAACAAATGGCTCACTTAACAACAGAAATTTGCGCCTCAGTTGTAGCCATCAGCTGAGGACTCCCTGTATAGCTACTACTAAAAAGTTGTAAGCTTAGCTTTCATTACTCCACATACCGTTGTCAGTTAGTGTTACAAAATTAATTTGAGAACTTACTATTAGAATGGGGTTCTCTTTAACTAATGTTCATTTTCTCCTTCCCTCCATGATTTGGCTTGTTCTCGAAGACTATAGAACAATATAGATTTCACATAAGCATTCTGTGTGTTTCATTTTAATTCCTTAGCCAACTTGGCAGCTCTAGAAATAAATCACACCATGTGAGCAGAAAGTATTACTTAAAACCACTATGTATTTAATTCTGAATTTCAGTTGCAAAGAATTCTGCACGTGGGGCATGGAATCCGGCAAAATTCAATCTAAATGTATGCTTAGATTTGGAAAATAAAATGATGCCCACACAGAGAAATTACCCAAATCATCTTGATCTGATTCAGTTAGTGACAGCAGTTTAATTTCTAAAAAGTAATTTGATTTTGGCCTCCGATTCAAAAACTGCAAACTTATTACAAAATAAGCTATATGCATAAAAGACGACCTTTAAACAAGGCTAACCTTGAGAAACAAAAAAGGAATAAAAATAAAACATTTACAATGTCTTCAAAAGTGTAGGAAAAAAGCTCATCTGGAATAATAAGAACATGAAATCCATCTAGACCAGTAGTTGGGGATCCTTGGCTTATTCCACACCTGCTCCAATACCCATCACAGGATATGCATCTCAACAGAGAAGACAGGTCTTCTACCAGATGACCTCATATCACAGAAGAGACCTACAGCAAGTCCACTCTGTTGGATTTTGTGGAATAGGTGGGATTTTGTGAAATACTTGAAAATACGGGATCCACAAAGGACTCCCCTTTCTTGGTCTCATTAAATTCCAATTCTTAAAAAAACAAAGAAACTAGATCATGCCACAGCCATGGTCAAAAGACCTGCACAGAGGAATGACCGTGGAGAGCGATGCAAGTGAAATTATCCAAAAGATTCCTCAAATAATTTTCAGATAAGAATATTCTTCCAATGAAACTTCTCAAGAGTCTTTCTCTTGAGTCGTGCCATATGGTATCTTGTGGAACATGTTCAAATCTCGGTACACGTTCCTCATGGTCGTGGGATCCTGTTTTGACTCTAGAGATGATTGATCAACATTTCAGGTTAAAACTGTTAAAACCAGCTTGCCTCACATGCCTCCCCCTCTTTTTTTTTCTTTTTTCCCCACTTGTATCTTATTATGCTGCTAAATCTTCACGAACACAACAAAGACTTTGCATTGTATTTCCTGTATCTTAATTTTGCCATGAGGCTGTTCAATAGTGAAATAAGTTATTTTTTATTCTCACTGCTTGACATATTGTCTGCGTTTTTTATCCAGCGTGTGGTTTCTTTGCTTTTTATTTGTCTCTGAAATGCAGAAATATGTCCTGGTTTTGATTACTTTCTTATAGCTTTTTTTTTTTTTAAATTTAACGGTGTGAATGAATTGGGATGCTGTGGGAGGCAGGGAAAGGAGGATTTACAGGAGTTTCATAATGTATTAACTGTGTTTGTTTATTAATTTCAGTTTTATTCATTACAGTTAATTGCACCCCTTATACTAATGGGGTTAATTACGGCCTCCTATGGTAAATCTTAATCGTCTCAATTTTGGTAATCTCTAGAATAAAACTATTGTAATATGTTGGAATGACTTCAAAGGCTTATAACTAGGGAAACAATTATTGAGCCTATTTTAATGGAACCTATAAACATACAACCTAGGTGAACACTTTAAACAGTGTCCAACCATTATAGCAAAGTCATAATTATATCATTTAGATGGAGAGTTATTTCAAATCCCTGCTAATTTTAAGATGACTATAAATACATTGGAGAATAATCAAGCACCCTGAAATTCATCCAAAATATTATTGTTGTCTTATCATTAGAGCAGCCAGTTGCTCCAGGCTTGTTCTGAAAGTTCATCTTAAACATTTGACAGGGAAGACATTGGCGCCAGCTGAACTGGAAATAATCTTTCACTGGAAATCAGGTATTCTTGAAAGTATGTAGCTTGTGGCAGAAGACTTGAATGCAACGTAAAATGTGTGAAGGAGTTGTTTGGTCTTCATCCCCACATTCATCCTTCAGTACATGGTACAGTCCTCGTATTTTTATACTTCTTTCCTCCAATAAAGTACTTTTTTGAATCTAAATATCATTAAAAGAGATAACGTCCCTTAGAGGTCTGGAGACAGACTTAAATTAGAAGAAAAATGTCCGTGTATGAATAACACATAGAGCAAAAGAAATTGGGAAGTAACAAAGACTGTTACTTTGTTGATTAATAATATTTATCTCCTAAATCACCCCCTCCCAAAAAAAGTTTTCTAAATGTAGGATAAGATTAAATGCTTCCACTGAGGATTCTGTTGCAAAGCAGCATATTATCACATTTGTGAACTGAGAATTCCATTTTGCTTGAAGTTGTTTAAAAAGTCACTTTGCTAGTTAGATAATGTGCTTATTACTTACTCTCTCACTTTTACTGTGGGTGTGTGAAATGCCCTTTATCTGTGCTTACTTGACCTTCCTCTTCTAATTCAGAAATACTGAAGTTCAGGTGTTAATAAATTGGTTTCATATCACTTGTGTTAATGTCTAATTGCTTGTCACCTTCTGCCTTTTAGAGAACATAGGAGAAGAGCCACATTACTGTGCTATGCAAACTGTGATTACAGAGGAAAAAAGGCATTCAGATACTTCCTTTTTATATTTTAATGAACTATCAACCAAGATTAAGCACAGAGAGCAGAATTGAGTCCTGCAGTTTTTTATTTCATGCTTGAAGCAAAGATGAATCATTCCGTGGCACCCTTGTATATATTTGTCTTTCAAGAAAACCTTGATTGAATGTGTACACTACCTGTTTTGGAAAATATAAGCAAATATATTACTTTCCCGTATAATAATAATAATCATATGAGTTTATGATCAGATAAAGACATTGAATCAATGATCCATGTCGTGTCATACTGCCTATTCTACCATCCATGGTGCCTGGCAGAAACTTGGCAAAAAACAGTGAGTGTCCTTTTCTCATTAAGTATTTCAGTTTTGGGATTCTCCCCAAATTTTAAATTTAAATCATTTATTTATCGTACTGAAGCAATAAAATATAGAATTTAAACTGTAGGGGAAAACTTTGTGAAAAAATAGACTAATATCTCTTGAGATTAAGACGTTTTAATTCTGTTTTGCATGAAATACAGTATTGACTTTTCTATCCTTTTTAATCCTCTACGAAGTGACTCATTCAGTTGCTAAGTCATGTTGATTCTTCGTGATCTCATGGACCATAGCATGCCAGGATCCCCCGCCCTCCACTGTTTTCCTGAGTCTGTCCAAACTCATGTCCACTAGGTCAATGACAGTGTCTAACCATCTCCTTTGCCGTTCCCAACATCTGGGTCTTTTCCAATGAGTCTTTTCTCATTAGGTAGCCAAAATATTTGAACTTCAGCATCTGTCCTTTGAAAGGATAGTCAGGGTCAATTTTCTTTAGGATTGACTGCTTTGATCTCCTTTGACTGCTTTGATCTCTTTATGCGAAGTGAGTATAAGTTGAAAATTCCATTTTTGCATTTCTAGAACACACACACGTTTTGGACACCTCTCTCTGCTTGATGCCTCCATTAAGTTGAAAGAAGTAATTGGACCCAGGGTCCTTCATACAGAAACTCCCATTCAAACTTCACATACCTCTACAAAACATAATTCACCCCACTTGGCAGAAGAAGGGCGAATTGGTGGAATATAAAATGTATCAATTTGGATAAACTTAACACTTGGGAGTAATTTCAATAAAAAGCTGTTAAAAACCAAAAACAGATATATATATTTCTACCAAAACCACATTTCTACCATATATGCCATACTAGTTCTGATTCATATGTCTCAGACGTTTGCATTGCCTTGTTTCCAAGAGATGCAAAAATTATACGTTGAAATTCCAAAACACTTTTGCCTATTTATCAGCCTCAAAACTATTCTCTATGTGTGTGTGTGTGTGTGTGTGTACAGGAAGACAGCTGTGCTATAGTGATTATGTCTATCACCTTTTTAAAAGTTTCCAATAGCGCTCCATTCATGTCTCCTGATTAATAAACCGTTGGCTTTCCATTTTCATATGCTAAGCAAGCCAGAGGATTAATGTGATGAGATTGACAGTCAGGTGACTGCTGTTTGCTGCATTGTCTAAAGTAGTTGCTAATTAACATCCTGGGATTAAAATGCTACAGCTATGGAATTTAGTGCTGTGTGTTGTATTTCCCACCAGTCTGGCAAAATTGGATTGAACAGCCTGCGATTATCATTAGAGCAGCCAGTTGCTCCAGGCTTGTTTCTGGAAAGTTCATTTTAAACATTTGACAGGGAAGACATTAGCGCCAGCTGAACTGGAAATAATCTTTCACTGGAAATCAGGTATTCTTGAAAGTATGTAGCTTGTGGCAGAAGACTTGAATGCAACGTAAAATGTGTGAAGGAGTTGTTTGGTCTTCATCCCCACATTCATCCTTCAGTACATGGAACACTCAACGTTGTCATCCATCAAAGAAAGATTCACGCCAGTCTGGTGCCATTAGCCATCCTACAGAAAGTTTGCTTCTGATTTATCAAGGGATTGTTTATCCTGGCAGGTATGAACGAGAGAAAAAAATTGTATGCCAACAGTGCACAAGATCAGTTTAAATGGATGAAATATTATCTCAAAGCTTACTGCGTTCTTTGCTGATAAAAGAGCTAATGGTGGAAGTTTCATGTTTTCATTCTTTCATGCCAAGTTCTTCATGCATCACCTCTGTTTTAAAAGTTCAGTGTTGATGAAAATGTGAAAGGACTAAATTTGTAAACAAATGTATTTCTCTTAAACAAATGTATAAATGATTAGCATCTACACAAAGTTCAGCCATCCACTTAGTGGTAGTCATAAAAACAGACAAGGAATGACTATCTCTAGCTTCTCATTGTTTTTCATTTCCATCATTGAAGTGGATATGAAGCCAAAATGAGACAAATTATTTCGTTCCTATTATTCTCTTTTTCCTCTGTTGATCTGCTTGATAGACTCATTTGTACATTGTCGTTTATAATTAAATGTGTGAGTTTTCCACACATTGTAGTCACTATGGCCTCTGAACATGGCATCATTAGACCCATAAACCAACACAGCAATACTTAATAATACTTAATAATCTAATGATCTCAATTTGTGACTTTCCAAACAGTTTCGGGAGGAGCTCATGTTTAATAAATTTCCAGAAAATCATCAGGGTTGAGGATGACCTCAAATTCCATTCTATAATATAAAGGCTACCATTAAAAAAAAAAAAAAATCTTTGATTTGGATTATCAACATTTTGCTCTTAATGCTTCCTTTTGAGAAGAGGAGTCAGCTAAATGTCTCATTTTAATATAGTGTTTAACAAACCACTTCTTTATTTGTAACTGCCACAGAGAAAAAGAAAAAAAAAGGAAAAGGAAAGTTTAAAATAAATTCTCTCATTTTGGGTTGCCAAAAACATAGTCTTTCTTAAGTGCCTACTCTGTAGGCTATTGATCTGGACAGAAAAAGAAGCACTTTGGCTTGTTAGATGTTAGACAACTAAATTCTCTAGGCCTTTGCAAGCCATAAGATGAACAGTAGATGAGATATCTGTGCTCCTACGTTGTTTGGAATTGATTTCATCCAGATAGTTTCACTAACAGTAGAATGTGTAGAATACACACACACTCTATCTCCATTTCCTTCGCAGTGTTTCTCAACCTTGGCAACTTTACGATGTGTGGACTTTAACTCCCAAAATTCTCCACCTCGCAACACTAGCTGGAGAATTCTGGGAGTTGACATCCACACATCGTAAAGTTGCCAAGGTTGAGAAACATGGTATAGTGTGTTTTTTGTAATCCCTATCTCAGGACCAAGTATGGGTACCCTATGCTTACCAAATGTTTGGTCCACAATGCCAGTAAATATAAACATTCCATCGGAACACTTCTTCCAGTTGCATTTAAAGGGAAAATAAGTTAGTATTTGTTGGGATTTGAGATGCTTTGAAAGAAATTCAGAAGCACTGGGAGGCTTATCCCACCTTACGAAGCTCTAAAGCAGTGTTTCTCAACCTTGACAATTTTAAGGCATTTGGACTTCAACTCCCAGAATTCCACAGCCAGCACATAGCCTTTCTCTTTATGAGAAGTTTAAAAAGTAAAACCCTAAAATAATAATAATTTTAAAAAAACAGCATGAAAGACGTTAATTTACCAGACGTTTATTTCCATTGAACTCATGTGGTTGAACGGAAGAACCTGGCCTAAATAAAAGAGGCAGCCAATAACTTCCCTTTTCCAGAAAAACAGAACAAGACATCTTTGCTCTGATACTGTCCCCTCCTATTTTTCTCCTGTTCCATAAATACAGTAGCTGTGTTTTATTTGATTTGCTTTCTCTAGTTGGGTCAAGGAGATAGGCAGACAAGTAGATCAGTAGTGTTCACTCTCTGAAAGTTCACTCTATGCCTGAAAAACCAGTTGAATTTAGCAGCCAAGTGATAATCTGAAGCTTAATAGACACTGAAAGACCTTGGTTGGCTTCTGAGGTGATTTGGTCACTCCTAAGATGATGGGTGCAATTCCACCTTCACTTCTGCTGTTGAAATGCAATGAAAATTTTATTAGTGCTTTGTTCTTGTGCCTGTTCCTTTTATTGCAGAATGCTCTGCTTACAGGATATATTTCATACTATGTACACTTCCTGCTGCAAAGCAATAAAATATCCTCAGTGCATATCAAGCCTATTTTTGTATACGACCAGCACTCTTTAATTGTAGTTGTACATTTTCTGTACCAGGACTTAGGTTTAAATGCTATAATGTCTTTGGAGCAGACACTTGCTTTCAGTACGTACTTAAATTAAGAGGCTGGCCTGTTTTTGATTATTAATCTGTGTCACTTTATTAAGCTAATTTAAATTAGCTTAATAAAGTTTTAAAG